AAAATTAAAAAAACTGTTTATTTCCTTAAGTTTCCTAAATTTGAATAAAAACGTGTCTGTACAACATACGTAACTTTTATTCTCCAGAAATATGAGACCATAATAATCAATAGCTTTTTTTTTTTTTTTTTATAGAAAAGCCGTACTTTTGGAATATTATCATTTTACAACTCAGCTATTCAACTATAGTTTACTGACCTGGCAATGAAAGATAACAATTAATAGTAATAATAGTGGTTTTCTCTATAGTAGCTACCAAATTATCATTTGTATTACCCAGGTAACCTATGAATAAACAGAAATAAACGAATAAATTTATATAAAAAATTAGATATTCGTATGAAAAATACCTAATTATCCTCTATACAATTCATTGGATTGAGAATGGAACGTTACATCAGAATTATAACATGATTGGTAAATAGTTTCCAAGAGTTGAATCTGAGCACAAACCATCAGAAAATACTTAAAATTTCTCTGACAACCAGTTAGTATCGCGTTTGGTGGTTCAAGTGCTTCTTGTAGAACATTTGCTTTGGTGAAATATACACGTTGACTGTTTTCAAAGGGCTGAGGGTATCCCGTCGAAATTTCGTGGCAATAATATTACGGTAAAATTATCTTGGTCAAAATGTCGTAGTAAAAAACGTCGGGTGTGCGAACATATCGCAAATAAAAAAAATGCCACCCCATAGTGATGGCATATTTTATTACACTCTTAAAATTTTTAATCAACTATTCATGGAATAAAATATTCTAATGTTGTTTCAGCTATTTATGTACTTCTTTTTGATAAAATGGAAGTCACATGCAGACGTATGTTTCCAGCGTTTAAATTGTAAAAACCACAACTTAATCTAAAATTGATTATGTCTGATTTCGGAAAAGCCGCTATAAAGGAATTCAAATGTTGCCCTTCAAGTAAGACAACTAGCGACTTTAGCTTAAGGATCCGACGATAATGTAATAACAGCGTTTAAAACACTAATTGACACCGACTTCTATAAAGAAAACGAAGAATGTCTAATTGGCTTAATTAATTACCTACATTGAAGACACGTGGATTGGTAGTCCATGCCGGAGAACGAAAAGAGCCTTTTTATTCGATATAAATGTGTCGAATTGTTCTTCATTAATAATTTCTGATATTCCACGAACTAACAATTCGGTTGAGGGTTGGCATAATTGATTCCACTCAGTGTTGAGTTTCCGTGGTCATCAATTAATTTGGATTTTTATCGACCAATTAAGAAATGATAAATTGCTAAACAAATTTAACAGTTGAACAATATATTGCTGATGTCGAATCTCCAGCGAAAAAAAAAAAACAAGGATTCTATTTCAAGACTAACAAACGTTGTTAACGAGTACGAAAAAACATCGATTGGCGACTACTTATGCGGAATATCCCGCAGTTTTCAATACCAACTATAATATAAATAATACGATTTTTTTTTTAATAACTAATATGATTTGACTAGGTATGTATATTAATTAATTATTATTTTTAATCCGACTTCAATGTATAAAAATCACAGTAAATGTATTACTTAAATTGGATTACTAAATAGCATAAAAAATAAAAAGTTGATTGTTTTATTTTTAAACAATTTTTACGCGGTGACATTTTTAATCACGATATTATTGCCACGACATATTTACTTGAATTCGAACAGAAGGCTCTATTTCGTGTATGGAAAAACTATGCTGCTGATGTATCTACGTGTCTGGTATCGTGCGATTTTGTTATTTTAATTCATTATCTATATTTCAAATACGGCTAAATCACTGTTTTTATTTACGTATTCGAAAATGCACTAGATTTTACGGAACTGCAAAACTCGACATTTATATGAGCTTTGTACGATTTCGAAAGCATTGGTGATTACGGTACTACCAACTGATTATCAATTTCAACTCGATTTGTAGAATTTGACCTTAGTATTGTTTAACGTGTGGCACCCATTCACAATAGATACGATGCAATAGATAACCATCGTCCACGGGTATACATGTATATCGAGTTGAAAACTATACTATCTTTTAAATTGAACCAAATCACACACATTGAGCATTGTCTTGTGATAATCGGTTGAGCAGTTTCAGAGTGCACCGCACCCCAAATCGTCGTACGCGGGATTTTTTTTATGAATGCGAATACAAAGTTTTATCACTTTAGAACCTACAAATCAGAGTCCTAATATAGTTGTCTACCTAATTATACAATAGTCCCGTTTTCATATTATTAATGTGGACACGCGTTTCTAGGCGAGTCCGGACGCTTCGTTAGGTTTATTTCTTGTTTGCGTACCAACATTTAAATGTACAAATTGACTTGCTCTCAAAATGTCGGGATCGCGGAAGATAAACTAAATTGTATTTTATTTCATAGGTATTTAAAAAAAAATAAATGGTATTGAGTATTACCGACGTAACACCATTAATCTTAGAATATACAACAGGATAAAATAGAATATTATAAATCTAAGGTATAGTTAAAACAAAACTCGGTAACATAAAGTACTTGAGTACTCCGTACTCGGTAGGTATTTTAAGTGATACTTATAAAGTTCCTACATTAGTATAGTATGTCAGCTACTAAATCTATTGGATTTATCTACCCGCATTCCACCACTTTCCCATAAATCTAAACACATTCTAGAATCAAACACGTTCGCTACGCCACTGCAGCGACGTGTGAGTGATCATTCTAGACACACCTAGGAACGTATACCTTTAGGGTCTAAACAGAAGACCCGGATTTTTTCGAAAAACTTTCTCCCTTTCCATTTTATGGTCGCCTATATCTCTAGCGGAAACGCGTTAAGCCTCTCCCGATTGCGATTGTCGCGGTGACTATTCGACTACATCGACTCGTTGTCCTACATTTTATTTTCCCAAAAAGTTTTTATTTATTTATTTTTTTTTTGTATGATAACTAAATATTACGCGCGGTCGTCGTGACGTTATCTATACTAAAACAGACCGGATACCAAGGTGAGGTACGGTATTCCGTACGATACGTTTTCTCAGATTAAACGAACGCTACTACATTTTGTTGTAACCCTACGGAGTATATTTTTATAACATTAATGCAACGTCACGTACGACGGGACGACGCGAAATTTACTTTTCAAAAAAAAAAAAAAAAAAAAAACAGTTAAAAAAAATGTATTTTAACAGAGATGTACTTAAGATTGTGATTTTTTTCCTGCGATGATGAGATGATATTAATTGTACAGGTAATATATTAATCGATCGTCTTCCTCAAAATGAGAAACAGTTAAGGAAAATAAAAAAAAAAAAAAAAAAAACGAAAAACGCTTTAATTTTTATCTGGAGAATACGATTTTTTCTAACAGTCGTAAGAAAACGCTACTATTTAATCTTGACCGTCAATCGTAACATTTATTCAAAAAAATTGAAAATCAATATTATGTCATTTCCTAGTTAACGTTGCAGGTGTCTTTAATGTGCATAGTGATTATAATTTCTAAAATCATTTTGGTACGTTACATATTTCTATTTTACGTTGATATGTTTTCAAACGAAATCCATAATTGCTCAAGACTGGAACTTTAACGATTATATAGGTTCTGATTTTTTAAAAAAAATATTTAAACTTCGATTCCAACTTAGTATTCATTTTCGACGTTTTTCACGAAATCCGCAAGACACTAAAAACCAAAAAAAAACATTATTTCAAAAAAAAATTCCTGTTTCTGATTCCTCGAATTAAAAATATTGTTTCCGATAAAGTTCCGGATTCTAAAACTGTCACGGAGAACGGCTTCCTGAACAGATTTTTTGGGTTCCGGTTTTATTGATCAATACGTGTGCGCTTAATCGCGATAAAATCATATCGTGATAAATAGCCGGGACCGTTTTTAGTTAATATGAAAGCGAATTAATTTTTATTTTCGAGTCGATACGATTTCAGTCCCAGGGCTGAGCATACAAATACATACCAATAATGACTTACTGATTATCGACGTCATTAAATTTTCAATTGTACGTAGAATTCCGTATGGTCATATAGGGAGGGGGGGCTGAGAGACATCTCTCCAGTCCCAGATGTATAAATAGCTGATTTACTATAGTGTAAAAACGCCGGAAAACGCACAATAACATATATAGGTACTCAATATTGGGCGGGAAAAAAATGGCAGTTTCGAAATTGGGGTGGGGGGGGGGCAGGGGCTGGTGACCGGCAAGTGTTGAAACGTTCGATATTACATTAAACGCGAACCGTAACAACACACTATAAGTACGTTGCTAGTGTGACCGTCTTTCATAAAGACATTATAATATTATTATAGTTTCGTTAACGCAATAGTATCGATCGAAGACCGGAGAAATTTAACGGAAATAAAAATGTTTAAATGGGTTTTTTAAAAAAAAAAAAAAAATAAAAATAATAATAATAATAATAATAATAAATGATATGTTCACACCGTGTATGCGCGCCGCACCGCGGTGCTGATGTGCTACACGAAAAGTTACTTATTGCGTAATAATGTTTCGGCGTGTGTCATAAAATCAAAATGCGCACCACCCCGTCCCGTTATTATTATAACAGTAATAATAATATGTTCAAACGGTATTTTCGGCTTTGCCGCCGCGAGTTAGCAACACGTTTTGTCGCGAATCGAATGCGTCCGAAATTCTTTTGAAACTGCGTGGTCGCGGGCGAAAACAAAAAGCGGGGGAAAAATAAAAAAATAATAATAATAATACTACGATTGCGACTGTCAGCGAGTGTTATTATTGTGTCGCGCGCATAATACAACCGAACTACGCGTTATCGACAAACCGCAGTTAAACGATTACTGACGGTGCGGTTCATTAACTCGGTTTTAAATCGGTCGAATACACGTCCATTCTAGAGAATTAAAATGCCCCTACAAACCCCCCCCCCCCCCCCCCCCCCCCCCCCCCCCCCCCCCCCCCCCCCCCCCCCCCCCCCACCCACCCACCACCCGCGCCGCTCGCCCGCTCCCCTCGTCAGCGGCAGTTCGATGACAGTCGTGTCTGTAATGTTTTGACAGGGAATAACTCTATAAATATACATTTGTACGTAGTACAGTATCGATAACGACGATAAATAACGCGACACGATAATTACGATAATATATTATTATAGACCGTAAACGGGAGAGATCGAGCGAGCGAATAAATGACAAAATTATTGGCGGGAAAAAAAAAATTAAAAAAAAAAAACTCAAAAGTTAATAACGCCGACCGGCGCGCGCGAAACACGCGTATAACAACGCCGACATCGATACCGATCGATTCGGTCCGGGGTCGTCGGTTAAATCGAAATCAAACGGCCCGCGCGATAAAACAATTGGCCCCGGCGATGGAGGGGGGAGGAGGTGGTTGGCGTTCTCTCTCTCTCTCTCCTCCGCCGCGACGCCCGACGGGAAATAATGAAAAATCGCGCCGCGCCGAAACGTACGCGCGCGTTCCGTCTCGCGTTTACCTCGGGAGGACGTTGTGTCCGCGTCCGCCGCGTGAGTCCAACTGCCCGAACTGTCGGACGACTACGCGAAAAAAATGCTTACGCGTAATACGTAAAACTGGCTTAATTTCGATTTCAGACCAAAAGTATCCGCTGTGAAACTTACAGGCAGAACGACATTTCGGAAGGTTTTTCGGAAATATGAACCGTTAAAAAAGTTACGGTTATTTAAATAAAAAAAAAAAAAAAAGAAAAAGAAAAAACGATTTTTGCATCTTAACTACATCGAACATTGAAAACCCTATGGCATTCTCTCTGAAATAACGTTTACTATACATTTCGTTATGGGTACTTTTACTCTAAAATCTAAAGTTAAGCCAATTTTACTTATTTTGCTTAATCGTTGTTTTCGCATGTTTGACTGAGACTGGTACAATGTTCTCTTAATGTCGCGTTATTTTCACGGCCTTTTCAGCCGAGTGGCCTTTTCTCCCCGTCTCTTTTGCCACGCGCGCTTACTTTTTTTTCGTTACCATTCGTTAACGGTTTCACCAGCCCCTTCGCCCTCGCTCCCTGCTCCGCGCATAACAATCACTATCGGGTACTCGGATCTAAAGTGAAACGAAACGTTTACGGTACCTGTATGGACGTATACTGAGTGTTTCGGACGACGATAATATTTTTAGTGCAATACCCTTTTGTTCCGCTCGATATTTTTTTAAGTACCTATCCGTTTAATAATAATTACACTGTATTAGAGAAAATGTACAAAATCCTATACTGGCGTGCTCTATACAGTGTTGACCGAATGTTAATAACTTTGTCAACGTTTATTTTTTATTTCATTCAGGCTTAGTGTCAGGGGAACACGAACGCAGATAAAATTTAATTTTTTATTTTCATCCCGTATAACCACTGAAAAAAATGTCTTTTTATTTTTTCAAAATTGTCAACATTTAAATGCATCATGCATTCATATCCGAACAATAATACGTTAGTTTTAATTTTTAGAAAATTGACGTGAAAACAATTAACTTCCGATAGAATAAAACATTACGCTACGAGGAATCAGCACGGTAATTTCCGCATTTCCTATTGAATATTAATCGTTTTCGCGTCTAATTTCTACGCATCAAAGCCGTTGTAAGTTTTGAAAAACCGCAGAGAACGAACCGCTCGTGTGGCGGGTAAACGTTTGTGATTCGACAATTCCGTTTAAACATCAAGTTTATAACAAACGCGGTCGTCGTTTGAAAAAAAAAAAAAAACGGCGGAATCGTGTAACGAGGCCCTCGCGTTTGTCGAAACGAAACCTGAACGCATTGAACAGAACAAACGCGGTCGCGTTTTTTTGTTATATTTTCGCGAGAAATCCCGTGCCGTTCAATTATATCGCAGCGATCGTGCGCGGCGGACTCGCGGACGTGCGCTTGCAAGTGCCAACGGTCACACGCGTAATCAGAATGCGTGGACGCGGGAAAAAGTCTTGGGGTCTGAATGTTCGAAATTTCGCTTTCGCATTCCGGTTCAATCGACGCGACCGATAAAGCTCGGCGCGCTTGTCGATCGCGTTCAAAACCGCGCAGCGTAGCCGTATAGTTGTTCCATTATACGTACGGACCATTTTACGTTGTTTTTTTATTCGACCTTTTATAACGTTTATGCGAACCGCAGCGGTCCGTCATAATATTAAACCGATTTATACGAACGGTATATCTATGTATGGACGTTACATTATTAGTGTAACATTAGTGTGCTCGTATTCTATCACGCGTTCTAGCCGCGATCGTATCAATTAAAACGGATCGGATTCGTTAAATTATTATTGGAAAAATAACGATAATAGTCCGTTATCCGAGTGATTCGATTTGCGTTTTAGTGTGACAGGAAAAAATAACGCGAGGGGTAGGTCGTAATAGGATAATTTATTTTTATATATATAATGCATAGGTATTTATCCCGAAATGTCCATCAAAAAACCCGAGTGGAGTAATATCGGGCGTGTATTCTTCCCGCCTTTTATTATACAGCCCAAGGTAACCCAGTAAAAAGCAAAATAAAATTCGTCTTTAGTTTTTTTTTTTTTTTATCATGTTCTAGAATAACCGACGGCGGGAATCCAGAAATAGTATTCAAATGAAATGTACCGCGGGAAGAAAAATAATTCTCATAAGGTACGGGTTGCTCGTGTTTTTCGAAAAATAAACCCACCCCAAAAAAAAAAAAAAAAAAAAAAAAAACAAAAATTCGAATGTACTCAAAATAAACCGGTCACCGTGTTATTATTACAGTAATAGCATACAGTGACGAAATTTATTATTCCATTTATATTGAAACTTTAATTTTGTTGTTATTATATTACGTATTTAATACCCTTTTGAAAATATATCATGCAAAAACCGTGTAAAGTTAAGTAACTTTACTTTGGATTTTATTATCAACATTATAATATTACAATATAATATACGTCGTTATATTATATACGGTATACGCAGTTATACTGAATATATTTGCATAAAATTAAATTCGAAATTCGCTACAGTTTAAAATGTTTCGGGTTTTAGGCTATTTTCTAAACACCCCCGTGCGTTTCGTTTATTTCGTATTCTTACTTTACGTGTATACTTACGTTTAAAAACGAATTAGCCGCGTGATTAATACATTTCTGTTTCGCGTGCGTGTTGTGTTGGGCTATTTTTCGATTGGTAATTATTGATATTAAGAAGACACCCGAATGTCGTGTTATTTACGCGGATTTTAAATTTCTAACAGAGTTTTTTTGAGTAAATTTTGAAATCGCATTCTGTTTATACGTGAATTAAGGTGTGACACGTGCATAATTAGTGAAATTTGAAGTTACGAAGGTACGGTGCGTATAAGTTTATTACATTTATAACTGCGCGTAACGATTAATAATTATTGCTAACGAAACACCGGTTTTTATAGCGAAATGCTGTTGAGATTTTTACGATTTTCGTTAAAAATCTAACTAGAAACGCTTATGAAAAAACACCTACCGCCTTCTACTCAGCTTTTTGTTTAGTATGGATTTTATGTGGAATTTTCAAACATTGCTGTTTGGCCGTAAAACTTTTATCCACATAAAACCAAATTCCTATAAACAGTCCAAAAATCGCCGAAAACATATTGCAAATTTGGCCGAGTCTAGACAACGCTAATATAAGTGTTAAGCACGAAATTTTAAGTTTCTACGGTCATTATTATGCGGAGCGGACAGACTAACAAAATCGAAAATAATGATTCCGTTAATGCCATAAACTTTCCGGTATTTCCCCGAATTGAATGAAAAGCGAATTTAAAAACCGATCACACAATGCACCGAAAAATACGAAACTTATCATTGAGAAAAAACTCTGTACTCGAAAATTGGCGCAACATCACAAGTGGATAAGTTTGCATGCACCGCGCCACGATAATAATAATATTGTGTTAATCGCATTTAGACGATGCGGATTAACTTTACGGAAATTCTATTGAAACCAATAGAATAATATCGGAAGATCGATTACAATATAATATCTAAAACAAAACTGCAGTACTGAGAGATCGTGATTAATCTATTTTCGAAAACGATATTAATTATGAAACGTCGCGGTGATAATGTTATTCATTTAAAAAATAAAACCACGCGGTATAAAATATAATATAATAAAATAATTGCGTAATAATATTTGGCGTCCACCGAATGAATTCCACAGCCAACGATGGCCTCTCAAAGCCGTAGGTGAATGTTCATCATCGTTCCGTCCCGTCAATGACGCATTTTCCGAAAATTATACTTTAAGACACCAATCAGAAATTCACACGACGTGTATTTGTATGTGCCGTTTCGATGACGACTCGTGATTTTACACCGCGACTGAAATTTTTACGTTGGCAATCATTTAGGGCCTCGTAATATTATATTTAAACCTATGATTATTAGATACCTTATTCTTCTACTATCTATTCGTCCCAAATATTTCAGGTCGGCTACTCTCGATCTGAACATCCACTGGACCCGGTCTCCAATCCCGCATATCTGAGACGAGTCAATCCATCAAAGTCTTGTTTCGAGCTCTGCATTCTTTTTGACACAATTTTATACCGACTGTCGACCTGACGCAATCCAATTTTCCGCCTCGTACGGAATATAGAGATACCGAGGACGTTTTCTGCTTCACTCCCATATGGAGAACGGTATTATCAACTAAAAAAATAATTTAACCTATAGAAAGAATACCATATATATATATATATATATATACTAGAATCACTCACCTGGGCTTCCTACCAGTTGGAGCTCAAGAACCTGGATTCGCAAAGCCCCCATAGCATCATATTTACCTTGAGACCGAAAAATTTTAATAAAATGGATTTAAAAAATAATTAAATTTATACTCATCGGGTTTTGCTACGTGTCAACGATTATTTTAGATGGTTTGTTTTTTTACATAAAATTCCTACTGTTATTAACTTTTCTGTTATTGAATTTTTTTTTTTCATATTCTGAACCACTTAATCGTTTACGTTTTGATTCATCGTTGGACATTTCGAAACAAAATAATATCATAAACATATAATTGAGTGCAAACTCACAACTATGGTACCTTGGTTGTAATTAGTTAATCTAACACAGTGGTTTTCAACCTGTGCGTCTTGGCTCCCTGGGGCGTCATCTGTTATTATCAATAGAGTTCTCAGTAGAAACTAAAAATGAAATTATAATTTATTGCAATAATTATTTGTTCTCATAACTATCACAAGGATAAACCTATTCCATTGAAACATTTATTTGAGAAAAGTTAGTTTTCTTTTTATCTTTGAAATGGTAATTTATGAATTGCAACAGCACACGTACTTGATGATTTGGCTCTAATCTATCAGCTGTACAACACACACCACGTCGTTTCTAATGTGTTATGTGTGCCACGCATATCGACCGAAATTTATTAAAAATATATTTCAATTTGTTATTTTTTGTGGTTTTTCTTTCGATAAATTCTATCAAATTGATTTTGTAACAACAGAGTATACTATTATTTTAAGACTGTATGAGTAAAATACCGATGCGCAACGTCACGTAAACAACACCAGTATCCCACCCATTACTAATTTTTATTTAGCCAAAGGTAAGGTTTTTAACCATAAACCCACACCCTTAGATCTCCCGAATCCCCCCCCCCTTGGATAGCCACTGGACAACACGGTGCACTGAAAAATATTAAGACCATATTATAACGATAAAATCAATGATTCGAGTTTAAATAAATATAATTTATCGCAGCTTATCATTGTTGAGTTTGTCCTATTCGAACAGTAAATTTCAGATAGAATTTATATATTATGTGTGCTATATGTGACGAAAATATTGTGTACTATTGCAAATAGAACGTTCGATGTGTTAATAAGACAAGTTCATAAAAATATCTCTCTCAATATTAGATTTTATATATGCTGACCAGTGACATTGGAAATCAAAATAATAAATAAAAATACAAACTTATTCGGTTTACAAACATTATTATTAAGTTTTTTTCGGCCTCTAGGACCATCCTGTTTAAAAATAAATTTTCCACTTATATAAATTATCACCTATCCAAAATTGTCCTATTTAATTTACATCCCAAAAAAGTTCATTTTTATTTTTAATATATATTTTCGCTTCATTCTCGGTTTTTTTCAAAGTTCGTCGTTTCCCTTTTGGGTTCTATCCCAGCGTTGCCCGGATTAGTAGGATTCAATGTTTCATCTACATCCATACCATTAAACTAACTTTTGCTCTAAAATATAATTTTCTCATGTCTATACACGATAACTTTCGGAAAAATTAAATTAATTCTCGGTTTTACCTTCCACTCTCCCCCCTCCGGTTATATTATTTCTTGCCGGTTCAAAGATCTTCCGCAATATTTTTAAAAGGACCAACAATTAAACGAAACGCTCTCACAATATTGTTTTTTTTTTTTTTTTGTTGAACGTGTGCTTGTTGGTTTATATTCATTATTTTTTACGTCATTAAAAAAATACGAATAAACCTGCGAATGATCAATTAGATGCTAATTACTTTCATTTACTGAAATAACGTAGGTACACGTACACTTAATGTGCGCGTGCTACCGAAACACGAATATATACTCAATTTGATGTTCATTAAAAACTCATTTTCAGCACCAATTAATGAAATAAATACGGAATACCGGATACGGTATCTGCTGCACAGGGACACTCGTTTGTGATTATGTCAATTAAGGTTTTTCTCTTCAAAAATAAATAATATTGTATTAACATAAGTCTACAGAATAAATAATTGTTTTTACACCATAAATGAGTACCGTATATATTATTATAAGACACTCGTGAAATAGTCCACGTTTTAATGACGTCGGCATTGCAAAATATAACATGTTCACAAAGATCTGCAATAATAATAATATTGCGTACGACATTTTTGTTTACATAAATTATTTATTGCAAAGGACATTTCAAACGCAGAAATTGTTGTCTTTTTTTTATTTTTTTTTTTACCAAATCGAAACGTATCTTTCATGTTTTTCACTTGTATATTTATACAAATGTATACTCCATATCCAGTATAGGGTATGTCCTACACGATGAAATCGTAATGGCACTCACTCAGGTTTCGGTGTATAAAATTCAAATTTTAATAACGAAAATTTAAAAAACACCGCCGTACGTTTTAAGAGAAGGTTAGATACTAACAATTTTCGTAGGATCTGCGTAAATGTTTTAAAAATTTTTTAAAATACCAAAATATTTCGAATATAATAATATTCAAATTAACTTTCTTATGAATTTAAAAACGGTCCCGAGAACTGTAGCACTTTTGATGTATTCGTAGAATTTGTTCAAAAATGTGTTTTTTTGGACAATATAATCGTTAAAAGCGAATTTAGCACATGTAATTATTTAGAAATTTAATTAAAACAACACAATAGTATCTAGGATATGGAGTATTGATTTTCTTGAATGAGATGGGGAATATATATTTGAGAATTTAAAATTGCCGATGTGTAAATAATATTACTGTTCTTTAAAAGAAAATGTAATTGTATTGGTAAATCTTTATGACCAACTATTTTACGCTACAAATTGTATTGCATTAATTTCGAGATAAATCAATTTTTCGACACGAGGTTTTTAAATTTAAAAACGCTAACGTGTTATTATGCGATCTGCTGTTTAAAAATTCGTCTACGATACAAATATACCTAACCCGACAGTATATTATGAGTTATAGTTTTGACCTATTGGTTTAGTTATTCTTCGTGTTAGTGTATTATGTAAAAAATTAGGAAGATCGAGATACAATCATGAGTTAAAAAAGCTAGATATTGCAAACAGAATAAAAAAAACAAAAAAAAAAACTAGAACGGGCAAGTTAGAACCGGAGGAAAGAAGAATCCGTGATCAAAAGAGTACCCGGGAAAATCCAAGAGGTCCAATACCACTAGGCAGGCCTAAGCTCCATTCGAAGGATTGTATGAAATCCGGATATTTCATGTATCTTGCGACGAACGAGAATGTTTGGACTGGAATGAGGTAGCGGTGAATCGAAAGGGGCGGGATACGCTTTGTTCGACGGGATAGTCCGGACCGACGCGAAAGAAAAGAAAAATCAGTAGTTAGTGCATTTCACCTAACCTCACTTCAGAACGGCGGGTAGGTTGTCGTCGGTTTTCACAAATCGACGGCAGTCGCATGCTCAATTGACGGCGGCGGTGCCGGTGACTGCGGCGGCCGTGGTTACGACACGACCGTTTACGTTTTGTTTCCAGTCCACGGAACAATAATATATTTTGTTGTGGACGGAGAGAGCACTAGGTGGCGGTGAGCAAGACAAAAAAAAAAATACGGTATTACGGAAAAAAAAATACGGTATTACGGTCGGCTGTGGTTACGGGGGTGGAGATCGGCGGTCGGGGGGGTGGAGATCGGCGGTCGGGGAAAAGCGAAAAAAAAAAATGAGTCGACTAATCATTTTAAATTGCATTATATACGAGTCGGCGGCGGAGGTGGCGGCGGGGAAAGAGGACCGGGGCGAAAGGGTACGACTCCGTCGTCGTAGTCGTCGTCGTCGGTCTGTTGAAATAATTGAATCGAGATAAAAGTTTTGCCGGGAGCACGACCCGGGTCTATTGTCTTGGTCCAAATTGCGGTCTGCCCCGTTTTCGACCCCGGCGACCGCGACCGCGTTTGCGCGCGCTCCGCTCGCCGGTATTCGCGGCCGCAGTGGCGACGGCGGTCGCCGTGATAACGGTACGATATAAAATCGCGCGAACCCGCCGCTCTCCCGGCCGTCCTACGCCGCCGCCGTCGCGGGCACCGCCGCTCCGGACCGAGGCGGCGGTCCCGTTTTCGAACGGGTTTCGTAATAAAATTAAAATCGAATTTTTCGGGGCGAGTGGGCGAGACACACACAGAGAGAGAGAGATAGAGAGAGAAACAGCGACGCGAAAAATACTTTCGCTATTAGCGGTGTTTACGGACGTACGGACCTATTTAACGGCCGATAAAACAGGTCCTCAACGGCCGTTATAATAGTATTACGCGCAGACGTTTTACGGTTTCCGAGTATGACGGAAAAGCCAATAGTTCTCCCCGAGACAACGCGCGTTTTCGTCTGTACCGGGAATCCCGTTTTCCGCGAACAAAAAAGGCTCGGGTTCGTTCGCGTCGATACCTCTAAAGGTACGGTTTCCCTTGCGCGATCGCGAACGCGNGGTTTATTCTGAACGATTTTACGTCGCGATCGTAGAGTAATTTATATCTCATCATTCAGTCGTACTTAATATTTTGATGTGTGAAGTACTCTAGTGAACGGTATAAACGAACATACTGTGAATTTTTAAATTATAATGGATACATCTGACGACGTAAATATATTGAAAATTCTTTTCGAAGAAGAAGATGATGATGACGTTTTGCTCTTATATTTGTCAGTAGAAAAAAGAAATGGCCATGGTCAATTATTTACAAAGAGAAGTACGGAAGGTTATTATGAAATACTAATCAACGGTAATTTGAAAAATAATGAAATCAAATTTCGAGAATTTTTTAGTATAAATTCGTAATCAGTTTGATTTTATTATAAATTTAATAATTGACGACCTAGCCTTAAATCCGAATTTTTTTTTTATAAGGAAACCAATAACTTCATCTTCTACTTTGCTAAATTTGGTCATTGGAGCACTAATTGTTGAAAGACACGACCAACGTCAACCAGCAGTCAATCATAAATGAATGTCATGTACTCGTATCATAATTTTCTATCAAAATAACAAATTAATCGCGACGCGATCGAATTTGGATCTCGCCGACCGCGATCGCGCAAGTAAAACCAACTGTATTTAATTTACATTGTATCAGTAGTCGCGCGATAATGATGCGCGATCTTAGATCGGATCGCGTTCGCGATCGCGCAAGGGAAACCGTACCTTAACGCGGCAGATTTCCCGTCTCACGATCCTGTTAAATTGGGCAACGATTTCGTTGTTCGTGTTGTGCTCGGTTCGTTTTCCGAAAAATTTCGTTTCACATTTGTTTTTGACGAACCCGTTTCTAAAGGATACAAAGCTTCGGTTTTTCCGCGCGGTGTCCCAAACGACGCGGAACTATTCACCGATGATACTTTAACTGAAACATTTAGCGAAATTCACAACAACTGTTGTGTCCCGTTTTTTTTTTTAAGTTTTCGATTTTATCGTTTTTCCGGAAAAACAATCGCGGCCAATACTCGTTATACTCGTAACAGTTGTTTGTTTTTTTGCAATTTGCAATTGTGTTTCGTTATAGACCAATCGCCAAACCACCACAATGTCGCAAAGTCCGTTGCCGGCCTATTAAAAATGTAAACACGATTATTTTAATGCAATTTGGTTTTTTCCCCAGTGCAATCCGTTACAGTCACGTATGGGTTAGGAACAATACGATTCAAATAATAGATTCTTAAAAGGGCAACGGCTTGTAGAGGGATCACTGTGAATCCCGATGCGATTAGTTTCGGGAAATTATTACGGAAAAAAATGTTCTAATTGAAGTCGGTAGCATACCAAGCGTAATTAGGCCTAGACGCATTTATTAAAAGAAAAATCCGATATTAAAATGTATAGAAGACGGTTAAATGAAAGTAATTTCGTAAATATCCTCAATTGAAACACTGCAATGGCGTGTTCGACTCTTCCTTCTGGTGTCCCCGATCGTCGCGCTATACAATTCCCTTCAACGGAACAACTAGACGGAATTTCCTTCCGGAAAAGATATTATACTTGAAATTCGGAGGAACTATATCTCTGGTTGCGAAACCAAATCTAATATAATGGCATTTTCGATGCCGCGTTTTTTTTCCGTTTTTCTCGATAATTTCGATAAAACCGTGAAAAATGTTTACGCAGAGCGAACAAATTACACCGTGACGGTAAGACATTAACATTTCTCGGACAGTCAACGCATTAAAAACGTCCGGTAACGGAACCGTTTAAACTTGTTCGTTTTGATAAAATAATTTAATACTCGGGTAATAGCTCCACGGCAGTGCTGCGTTGTGTATAGCCACCGGTCACGTATTTATCTATCCGTGTAGAATGTCGTTATAAGAAAACGGCGATAAAAGCCGGCGGAGGGCACATATTGGACGTTAAGTGCGCCGGAAAGTTTAAACTCTCGACGCGTGTAATTCCGAGTTAAATGTGTTCTAAAAACTTTGTGTATAATAATATATAGATTTGTATTGATCAAAATAACGGCGTTTTTCGAATATCGTTATAAGATAACCTATAAGGAATATCCTTACGGAAAAATAAAATTTAGCGCCGCCCGGGGAGGGAAAAGAGATTGGAAGGCGTGGGTTAATTATTTTGGTCACACTCTGGTTCGGGAAATCTGTAGTTCGGTGTTGAAATAACGATCGTCCGTGCGCGAACACAAAACAGTATACCGGAACGGTTAAAAAATAAAAGAATGGAAAAACACTACCGACATACCTACAAAACGCGCGTTTTCGACTGCTGTTTTTTTTTTTTTGTTTTTTTTTTTGTTTCATTCGAAAATAGAGACTATTGCATTATGTCGCGTATGTTTTATACATAAAATTTTGTAAATCTTTTTACCGCTACTTTTATAGACTTTTTTCGATTCTCTCTGGACCAATTAATTATCTTAAATTCGGCATTCAGAGTTGTATAATAGTTGGTGTACAAAATAATACTATATAAACGAGCATTTGTTATAACCGTAGATACATATCGTAGAAGTATCCTCTAAGGGTGACAAATTTCTACTTGGTTATCATTGAATTTTAAAAATTTTAAAAATTAAAAAAAAAAAAAAAAAAAATGAAAACTAAAGCCGAAAAATAAGTTTTATTATATAAGTGTAATACTTAGGTACATCAAACTACGTATTATTGATCTGTAAATCCTACCGCCTAACCTAACCGACTAGATAAACAATAAAAAAATACAGTTCCTTGAGTGTTTCGATTAGGGCAAGAGTTTTGATAAAAGAGTATTATTTACAGACCGAAAAAAAAATAACAATAATAATAATTTTAGAAAAACCTAAACGATCCTCGTTTTGCTTAGAACCTAAAAAAAATCAAAAAAAAATCTATATGCACGCATTCAGTAAACATACATCGTAACGGAAATAAATTACTCCCGCGAACGTTCAAGTGTTTTGATTTATTTGGGACCCGACAATACTATTTCGTTATCCATTTTTTTTTTTAACGTTGTACTGGTGCCAGAAATACTGTTAACATAATTCTACTTCTCGTTCTTTCTTCGAGAAAATGCGTGCATGCAATATGCATAATATATTATAATATTGTTTTATATTAATTTTCGCCAGAAAAATATTTTTCGGTCTGAAACACAACGTAACGCAAAATACGCGATTCGCGAATACCGCATTTTTATTTATAGTCCTTAATTTTCTATTAGATTAAAATACGAAAGGGACAAAATAACATTACAGATCTCGGTTTTTTCGGGTTTTTTTTTTTTTTTCAGTGTTAACTGCAGTATAGAAATTATATTAATAATGGCGCGGTTCCGAAATGTAAAAATGTATCGTTATATCATTCGGTTTTTGTTTTGTTTTTTTTTTTTTTTTTTTTTAAGTATTTTACATTATGCAAATTTCGTATTATAAATTATATATATGGGCAAATATCAATATGAACTCTGGAAATGTTTTTGATATATTATACGTAAACGAACGTATTAATAATCATTATGCATAAATTAATATCGTTTCGACGATGGTATTTATTATTAGGTTATTAATTACGTTCGTTAAAATAATAATAATAATAATAATAATAAAAAACTGAATCGTTAAATATTTATATAAACGATACCGCCGCCGCCGCCGCAGTCGGACGAATCCCGTTTCTCCCCGTTATTATTTTTTTCAAGTTACTTTTCACATTCCGCTCTTGTTATTAAATAATGTATTGCCGTCCTCGGGCAGTGCAGATTGTAAAAACCACATCTTTTTTTTTTTTTTTTAATTATTATAATATATATATATATAAAAAAAAAAAAAAAAAAAAAAAAACAATTTGTATATTATTATATGTATTTAATATTTATAGTATTTTCCGCGCGGGTATATTGAATGGAAAATTAATTTTATCGTACCGACCTACCCATACGCACTACCGGCTGTATAACGTCGTCGTTTGAAATTGAAATTGTGTTTAAGACACAGGTTTTACTGTACCGTATGCTAACATTCGTATAATTATGCTATCGGTAAAAGTGTATTTATTATGTGCATTGTTGTTTTACGCGAACCGTGGCTTTTGAATGACTATGGGTTTAAATTAAACGGCCGTAGAACTTTTAATGCGTCAGGTACATTTAACACAACCGACGGGATAACGGTTTTACTCGGGGAGTCGCTAAATATTGTTTTACAAATCGATAAATAAATCTTATCCAATTGTAACTCAATCAGACTTATGTTTAAAATGGACACGGTGATATTCTCACTAACTTGCGTTTGCAATGATGATTTGGTGTTTTTTCTAAACGCATTACAGTTATTTTCGTCACCAACGCATAGACGCAGTTTAAGCGGAGACGTAAATATTAATATAACGAAAGATTCTAATATTATTAAAAACTATTTAAACATTATTGCGAGAAATGGAGTTTTACCTTGTGTTAACAATTTAATTAGAGTGGCTAATCATTCAAGTACCAGCATTATTATTATTATTGTTTTTTTCTCGAAAAGATAATGGGACCCGCCGAACAGGTTTGCGTGGGTGCATTAATCGTATTTGTATAAAAAAATATCGATTCCAATAAAATTATATCAAATATATTTAGGTGTGATATTTTTTTACTATTATGCTACAATTTTGATCATATCAAAAAATAATAAAACAACTAGTCATAATAATTTATCACCAAATAATATAAATATTAACTACATAGATATATTATTAAAATTTATGTTCGAATTTTTATAATGTACACAACAAGGTGGAAGTTTTTATCTCTAAAATAAAAGAGTATAACATAGTCATCTGTTCATTAATATAAGATTTGCAAATCAAAAGAAATGCATACAATTAAAGATTGGATTACTATTGGTATTATAATATCTATTAGAAATAGGGAAAAACTATTTACTAAACTAAGATCCAGGCCGGTTGTCATAAAATTAAAAAAAATGTAACAATTTGTATAGAAACTTACCGGATAAACTAGTACGACAATCTAAGCAATTTTATAATCAAAATTGATTACTGCATGCACAGTCTGATACTTAAATAATTTGGAATATAATGAACGAAGTAATTGGAAATAATATAAATGACCTCTTAAAACCTAATATGAATACAAGGGCTGAATTATTGAGCTTTGCTGATGATACGGCGATTTTAGTATCTGATTCGACAGTTGATATATTATATGACTCGGCTAATAAAATATTGAATCTTGTTTACGCTTGGTTTTATAAAAATAAATTAAAACTGAATTTGATTAAATCAAAATGTATCTGCTTCAACGAACATCAAAGTGCTTAATAAAAAACAGCCTTGTAGTTCATTCGTTATAAAGTAATCGTAATGTGAATACAACTCGTGGTCATAAATGTAATATGCCTAAAAAGGTAAATAAATTAAAATACCTCGGGAGGTTATTATTGAGTATAGATTAAAGCGGAAAAGTCGTATTAATTATATTAATAATACCCCACGTACATTTTTTTTCTTTTTTAAAGAAGCTACATATATATATTTGATATTTTTTATTAAAGAGCTATTATGCCAGCGTTGGTTCAATCAGCGTTTCCTATGGTACATCGATTTGAGGACGTGTCTCAAATAATGTTTTGTCTAGACTTATTGTTACTATCAATAGTATTATTCGATTCTTGTTAACCTTCCCATGATAGCTACCACCGAATCGATTTATAATATGATTAAAATGAAACGATGGAAATTTATTTATAATTTGTCAGTTCTAACTGTTTAAATGTATTATTTATTATTGGTTGGTTACATTATTTTCTATGTTTTATTTAATTCAACATATCAAATTGTTGGTTTACTTAAGTGATAAGAACCGTGTCCTCAGTACAAGCTTTGCTTATAGGCGGGTGCTGCAACTTTTAATCGTTATTTTGCGTATAACGTATAAATCCATTGTTGCAAAAAAGATTTATTATTAATATTGTTATTATTAATATTGTTATTATTTAATACTCGTTTTTTTTTTTTTTTTTTTTTAAAACAAAATAAAAAAAAAAAAAAAAAAAAAAAAAACCACCGTTTGATGAAACTAACCGATGTCGTACGATAATTATTAGGTATGTACAACAAGCTTCACAATACTATAAAAGACGATGAGTTTAGTATAATTGCTATACGTATATTGAAATGTCGCAAATAATAATATTTTTTTTAATTCATGCAAGACTTTAGAAATAATAATATTGTAAAATTGTAAAGGAAAAACATTTTTTTTTTTTTTATATATACTTAAATCCAATATCTCTCTAATGGTTTAGACCGTTTACGAATTATCCGCACTCGTAAATACAGTTTTATTTTATTTTTTTTTTGTGAAAGCACAATATTTTATATTTAAGTTTATACGGTATAATATTACAGCGTAATATTTTATACGGTCGGGTTTACAAGAAAACGTTAAACAAATAACAACTAACCTCATGCAAGTTTCGCGGTAGTTACAACACACCTCGTTTTAGTTGCAAAATTTACGAAGCATACCGTTAGTAACTATCATGTGCTATTTTCGTGTTAACTCAGCGATAGTAATTATTGAACTGTCGGGAAATCCACTATCGCAATACGCCATGCACGCACAATAGTTGACAACTATAATATCCCGAAAACACGCACTACCGTGCCGGTGTGTAGCCTTCACGGTCATTTCCACTTACGTTTTCATCTAAAACGCAAATTCTATCGATATTCAATTCGATTGAAATTGCGTCTCCTACGGTCATTTCGCGGACGCTGTATCTCGCGATAGTAAACTACTACGTGCACGTTCGTGGCAACGACTGCCGTGGCAGAAACTATCATCGTGAGACCAAGAAATTATAGAAACGTTCGTGAAACTGTACAATATTGAAATATTAAAATTGAATCTATAACACTACTATAAATAACCAAACTATAATTTCCTAATGACATTAAAGTTGTGTTAAAAAAATAAAATAAAAAGCAGCAAAATTTACAAAATATCATAACGGTTTCATATTAACCGTTCCTCATCTTTATTGTTGTTTTAATTGTTAGGTTTTTTTTTTTTTTTTTTTTTTAATCATTAAAGTTTTTAAATTATCGCCGAATCGCGTCGTGCATAATATTATTGTTATTATTATTATTTTGTCTCTACTCTTGTTGTTAATATTCCAAGCCGTCGCGTCCATGCGTATAACTGACACAATTTTTGTCGTCCCCGGGAAAAAAAAAGAGACGTTATTTGTTTATATATATATATAATTTTTTTTTTTTGAACGGGTAAAAAACTTTATCTTTCGATTTTTCATTATCATTATTATTATATCTACGTGATGGCAAGCAAAATCCATACTGCCGACGACATGTTTTTCAATATCCCTTCATGTCTCATATCGAGTTCTAATATTCTAGCTATACATTTAGGTACGCGCGAGCTTATCGAATGCAATTCGAAACGTATTATATGCTACCCCGGGAGAGATTCGAAAGAAACGTACTGATGGCGTTAAAGATTGAGTTTTAGTGAATGTTGCCCGGACGTTTGCATTGCTGTAATAATATTGTCAAAACTCCTCGTGTTAAAAAATATTAGTCGATGAAATATTTCATGTATCGTTATGTAGGTAGGTAATGTCTGAAAAAATACTGAAAATAATTATTTACTTTATTTTTAGGTTAATTTTCTGTATAGATATTATATATGTAGACATGGTTGGTCAGTATCTTCGACACAAATATCTCAAATACATATCTCAGATACAGTGATTGTATATTGCATCAGGATATAGTTTTTTTTAGAAAGTGTATATTGTCTTTTATTATGACACTAAAATCCATGTGTCCGCCATCGTTTAGGTACTCGTTTTGAACAAAAAGTTCATGATTGTGTTAAGAAAATAATAACACACGTAGAA